AAAAAAAAAATTAGTGAGCAATACTATTAGAGAAAGAGGAATTGTACACACTCCTTTCTCCTGTTCAGGATTCATACTGTGTAATTTTATTAAATTTTCTGCTTCCAAATCATCATTTGGACAAAGCAGTTTAAGAGCATCTTTGTCAAGCCCTTATTAGCCACTTGCACTCAAGAAGGCTAAATGCTCTACAATATTATTAACCAAATGCAGTAGAATGTGGTAGCTGCACATTTGAAAGAGCCTTTCGTTACATAATGTTTATATAGATTCCTATGATGAATTCCCCAACTTACCTTTCTGGTGCTTTTTTTTTTTCTTTATAGTACTTTCCCTCTCCCCCTTATATGACAATTCTTTTGTATGATGATGGCTTTAGAGTGTGATAGGGTAAATATTCTGTGACAGTTCTCATACTGATAAAGATAATAGCTGTTATCAAACAATGTACATTCATAAAGGAGGCAAGCCTCTTCCACTCTGCGTTGCAAGAGGACAAGAAGGTTCACAAACTTTTGTTGCCTTTGTTTTCCTGTATATAGGTTTCTCATTTGGAAGCATAATACAGTACTTGCTGGAATTCTTATATTGTAATTTTAATCTTCCTAATCACAGCTCTTTAACTCCTGCTCCTGGAATTAACTGTTTCCAGTCCAGACAGCAAGGAGGGAAGCCCATTGCTGGAGCTTTTGAGCAAATTTAGTTAGTAAAGAAAGGAGCAGTGTGTGTGCTTGAAATTATTTGGGGGCAGGGAAACAAAAGAAAAATTGAACATGTAAGTGGATGAAAGAGATCACAGGTGTTTCATTTTTTGGCATTGAAGATAGCATATATTTTTCTATAGAGAGGAAAAAATGGGTTTAGATATTATCCTTGGCCAGAGTTGCTTTAAGTAAAGGTAGAATTGCCTTCACATTGAGCTTTACTTCTGGTGACTTCATAGATATACTGAAAACTTACACTGCCAAAATAGCAGAATGGTTTACCATTGCCTTCTTCCAGAATATTTTTTGACTTCCCAAACTAGCCTTCAGCCCTGAAATTTCCAGGTGATCTCCCATCCAAGCACTAACCAGAGCCAACCTTGTTTAGCTTTGAAACCTGAAGTTGGCCAGTTGCTGTCTCCTGCTGATATATTGTTTGCTTAACCATGGTTTATTGAATAACCTACAACTGGCTAAGTTTGTACATCATATAAAATCATAAACCTTAGTTTACTAACTATAATGACTGGATTTACACAACCTACTAAATCAAAATCAAATCACATAATTGCTTAATGCAATATGTAAACCCAACCATTCCAGCTTATAAACAGCAGCTTATTGTTTTAAGTAGCATGAACCACCAAATATGGTTTATTAAATAAACTTTAGTTAAGCAATGGCTTAGTGTGAGGTTGAACCCAGTTTTAGTTCCATACATGGCCAATCAGCACTGATGCATAAATTAATTGGCTCCTTGTTTCTTGCTTTCCTATGTATGATGATTAACAAATTTTAGTTTTTAGCTTCCTAGCAGTTCATCTCACAAATGTTTATATTGATTTTATTTGCTTGAGAATATGACTGTTGCTTGTCTAAGATTAACCTTGATTTTCTAATATTTTCTAGAAGGTGCTTTTGAATTCACATTTAAATTATGACTTAATGTAATGCTGCACTTCACAAAACATGCTAAAATAATGGCTGGGATGCTCCCACATGCTGAGTCACAAATTACCTAGTCTCATTTTAGTCTGGTCTGGTCTGATCTGGTCTGGCCTAGTCTAGTCTGTTCTTCAGTTATTATGATACAGTAATACAAATGTAAGCACTTCTTCTAATGTAAGGTAATCATCAGGACCACAACTGTGTTACCACAGCAACTCACCCATAGTGGGCATAATGTTCTAATATGCCATCTGTATTTCAACCTGAAATCCTAATGTGCAGGGTTGATTCAACTTGACGGTGCCATGGTATGTTACCCTTTCCAAAATATACAAATATCAGTTAAGTGGAGCAGAATCTAATAAAGCTGCGCAGTGAATCATGATCACAAAAGATTTTAGAAATGTCAGATTTCTCTTTGGGTCTCTCTCTTTTTGCTATAAGACTTTGCAGAGAGAAAAAGAAAGATTAAAAAAAACTGTCATGCTGTAGTTAAGCAACTGGACCAACTACACTTATTGTTTATTGTTCTCATGATACACAGAGGATCCCATCTCACAGGACAGAACAATATAAAAAGTATATTTTATTTCCTGAATGGCATATTTTTTATTTTATTTTATTTTATTTAACATGTATATCCCCTTCCTAGGTGACAGCAGCTGATTAGCTTTGTCTGAGTTTGGAAGGTAAGTAGGGTTGGATTTGGTTGACCTGTGAATCCCAGGGCTGCTGGCTAGGCCAGAAAGTTGAAAACTTTCTGGAAGCAAGGAATGGCAAACCACTTCCATACTACTGCCAAGAAAACTCCATGGATGTGTCCACAAAATCAGCAGGATTCAAACTCAACTTGAAGGAAGGTTTACTTTTATTTTCCCAGAAAGTATCTCGAAAGCGTTTAGCAATCAAACTTAACATGATAATAAAACAATAAATTGAAGTACAATATATAACGTATATGTTAAAATGGATTCGTGAAAAAGACAAATGTTTCTACCATTCGCACAGGGATGGATGAAAACTTCATTTTCAGTAGATGCCTAAATTATTTATTAGTAGGTGCCCTTGAATATCAAGGGAGAAAGCACCCTAAAATGCAGGCACCACCACCAAGAAGGCCCATCTGTAAGTGATCTCAAGATGATAATCCACAGTTCATGCACTAGCAGTAGGACTCCCTGAATCTCTGAGTTATCATGCAGGTTTTTAAAAGGAAGGTGAACCATCATAAATCCCAGTCTGAAGTTGTTTAAGGTCTTATATACCAAGAATAAAACTTGAACAACACAGATTGCTTCAGTACAGGTAAAGCATGTACATGACAAGGTGCTCCATTCAGTAAACTGGCTATTGCAATCTGTTCCAGTTCCAGCATCCAACCTGGTAGATACCAAGCACATTATGGTAATGAAAATGCAAAATGATTATCTTTGTCTGGTAAAGGGCATAGCTAGTAACAGATGGTCCTCGTCATAAAGGTCACACGGGTCTATGGTAGATGTTGTGGGAAGGTAGCTATGTTAGTTTGTTGTAGCCCAAAATCAGAAGAAATCTGATAGCACCGTTTCCAACTAAAACATTTTATTAATAGGGATACATTTTTGTGAGCTTTGAGCTTATGCCTTTCAATAAAAGGCATGAGCTTACACCTTTAAATAAAATTTGTTAGTTGGAAAAGGTGCTACCAGACTCCTTCTGAATGTCGGGCCTATAGTGACAACTGTAGGAGTACCCCAAAACCATGGACATGTTCCTTCTGAGGGTGTGCAAACCCATTCAGAACAGGCATATTTCCAGTTCCCATACCCAGGAACCTTTATTGGGTCTCACCTCATAGGAATGAACCACTTAGGCAAGACATCTAAGAACTACAAATAGGATTTGATGAAGTAGGAAGCATAAACAAAGAATTTCAGCAACTACAGTGATTCAAGAAAAAGCTGTATATAGAGAAACAATGTTCAGACTTTTGTGCTTCATTTTCCTTCCCACGCTATACCCAGATTATTTGCCCCTCTCTTTTGTGGGTGGGGGGACTGGCTTATATCTGCCTTGCTTTTATAGCCATCAGATTTACTATCATGCTGTTTTTCTCCCAGCATGTGAAAATTAACTCTCACAATCTCCCACAAAGTCTTCAAACTGATCAGATTTCAGTTGCAATTTATCCACCTCATCACTGCATCCAAGCAACAGTTCAGGATATGATTCTGATGTTACCAAGAAGTAGAATTGGTTGTCATCAGCATATTGATGGCACTCCATCTGCCAGTCCATGACCTCTCACTGTGTATGGTTTGATTGTGAAAATTAAATAAATAGCTAGTCAAAAACTGCTCTCTGCTCTACTGAAGCCTGGTGTGAGCACACTGTGGCACAACAGTTTATCTGTTGGAGAGAGAAGAACCAGCTGTAATGTATCTTGTTTGGCTTTGACTTAGCTTTTATAGAAGTTGTGTTCTGTAAAGCCCTGAATTAATGTTGTGTTTTGTAAAGCCCTGACTTAATGTAACAAATGAACACAATGTTTACAGTGTCTAGTTGAGAGGACAATGCTTACTTCTGCTTCAAACAAAATGAATGAACTCCCTGCAGCAGAAACTGATGAGATCAAGAACGAATAAACTAGCACTCTTCAACTCAGCAGCAGCCCATTCCCTGAATTGTCCTCCAGGTAGTACTCAAGTTTAAAATTAGCCTCCACTGATGCCCTAGTGCCTCAGTGATGCTACTAAAAATGGTTTTTAAGTCTAATTGTATAGGGAGAGGTGTGTGTGTGTGCACACATCCCCTAATTTTCATTGTGGATCCTCCTCCTTACTGGTAAAGCATTTGTTCCAAGGCAATTAGGACCTTGAATTGAAAAAGGCTTCCTAGTCCTGACATAAAACAGAATGGCAGCTGTCCTCCCATAATATGCACTTCTGCTACAGAGTATGTCAATACAGTATCTTTCTTCAACAGCAATTTACAGAGGTGAACAGGTAATGTCTTTATGTGAAAGACACATCTCCTCTTTCTTCCTTCTACCCATACACTTATTGATTTTAATCTACAGATTTAGTGAGCATATTAGTTTTCTAGTACCATTGCCTCCATAAAGCCTAATTGAATGTAATGCTGGCTAATAATTCCCACAAATGTATGTAGACAAAGATGGCCATGGACCAGCCTTTCCCTACGTAGCACCACATGAAGACACTGGTTGGGAATTCTGGAAGTTGCAGCCTGACCATCTCTGGAGATCACCAGATGAGGAAGACTGACACAGAAACTTGATGGACAGATTTAAGCAATTGCATCAGTATAAAAGTAACTGATGACATTGATGAAATACTGGATATTTGGTCCTTATTTATTTATTTATTTATTTATTTATTCATTCATTCATTCATTGATTGATGGTTAGTAGAACACTGGAAATCAGCAATCTGCTTAGCTTCTAATTTTACTTTGGTGCCAGAGTAGACATATGCTGAAACAGACACTGCCTGATGCATTCCTGGTGATCTTCAGGTAGGATATCTGTCAGATGAAGGCTCACAGAATTCACATAACACTGTGGGGGATGAAAAAAGTCAAAACATTTACATCTTATATTCAACAATTGTCTCATACTGGCATTGTTTTATGAGCAAATTCACAAAATCTGTTTTTTGATTATGTAGAGAAGATTCCAAACTTGCTAGAAACAACATCCACTTTGCAAATTAGTTACAATAAACAGCTATCTGCATACAACCCTTCTCTTTCATTCAAACTGTATTTCAGGAAGCAGACTTGATCTCCAAAATATGCCTCCACTAAAAATTTACTTGGCACGACATGACAAGTATTTCTACTGATCCTAGTATATTCGCTTGATTTCATATAGAGGTTGTAGTATTGTACATCTGGAAGTACAGTTTTAATTATGGCTCTGTGCAGTGTCTTGGCAACATATGTATGTGTCTGTTTTCAATGTCTGTCATCACCTATCCTGGCAATTTTTACCTACCAAATATGACTTCTTTTCTGAGCATGTAAAAAACGATAACAGAAATTTCTTTGTGTGTTCCAGTTGGGACAAGCGAAGACTGAGACTCACCAGAGGCTGATGCAGTTCCAAATAATTTCAACCCATCAAATGAACAAATATGATTATCTGGAGACATCATCTGGTGCAATTTTCTCTAGATGTGTTTTACTGCAAATTTTATCATCCATCCTGTTAGCTATAGGTGATAAGAGCTGCAATAAAACACATCTGGAAGATACCTTGTTGAAAAAAGAGGGATTTAGGAAGTTTTGATACCTTTTGAATACAACTATCATGACCATATTTTCTCAAGATGCATCCTTTTTATTTATTAGGTGTACTTCTAAACTGCTTCCTGGTGTTAAAAAAAATAACCTTAAATAGTTGTGCAGGATCTGCTAGAGACAGTTACAACTGGTGTGCCATATCAGCTCAGCAAAATAATACAGTAAATACACAAATAAAACCATAGCAGCTTTCTTCTTTATATAGAACTGCTAGAACCAGAATAGTGAAAATGTACTTAGATATGATTGCCATGGCAACCCATTCAGCTCAGTTATAATCCAAGAGGGTTGGGAGTAAACTCTAACAGAACCTAAGTGTATAATTCAGTGATGTGTTAGGGTTTTCAGGTATATTCCTGTCTTCATCATAAATGGTTATTAACTGGATCTATATTATTTGGATAGACAAAATAAATTAGAACACATTAAACTGGCAGTTGATTTTTTTTGTGCTTCTTGATCAATATTTTCACTCAAAAAGCTACCAACAGTGTGAGTAATTTGGTTACCTGTCTTGATTAGACTATTCTAGAGCAGGGAAACGTGGCCTTCAAGAATTCTTGAAATACTACTCTCAGGAGCTCTAGGCAGCATAGCCAGTGTGAGAGATGTGAGGAGCTACAGCCATTGAACAGCAACATCTGGAGGACCAGAGATTCTGGCTCTTCATCCAGGCCTTTGTCAAGGGAGACTAAGACCCTTCACTTCATTACGCTTGCCATCTTTATTTTTCATGCTTTATTTTACTGTAATTTCTTTGATGGTTGAGACCCACCTAGAGTCACTGAAAATCAAGTGGCATACAAATAAAAATGCCAGATCCAGTCTAAACATCCGGCTGACTGTGTGACCAACAATAATAATAATTCTGCACTGCTGCCACCAGCTCAATCTGAAAAATGTCTGGAAAGTCTACCTGGTTCAGGAGCAGTTATGGTGCTCAAAGGAAAATAACTGTGTGGGCACTGTACACTTTTTTCCCTCAAGAATAGTTACAATTGTTAACAAAACATTTCCATCCCTAATTCAAATTGTAATTGTATTATAATTGGGTCATTTGAATTATAATTTTATTATAGTTTATTAAGCTGTAAAAGGTACCTAAAGAGCCGCATTCTCCCATATGATCCGAGCAACGGTGTCCACAGGGGTGGATGTCAACAGTGTCAAAATGGCAGCTGCAATCAGGCAACTGAAACCACGCCCTTTTTTACTTATGCAAAACACAACAAAAAGGTGCAGGCTTTGATCACTTGGACATGTTTGCCATTTTGATGCAATTGATGTTCCTTCCACAGACACCTATGATCCCAACTGTATTCTAGGTTCTGATGGTCAAGCCCTTCAATATATCCCGGTGTGGACTGACACTTGTTTGATTTGTAGTTGTTAGAGTCTCTTTTCCACAACCCCACTTTCCAATTGTGAGAGCCTCTCCTGCAGAAGTTTGTTTAGCTCTCTAGTTCTTTAACTCCTGCCACTAGATAAAGACCATTTCATTTTGCCAAGGTTCTGTTTAGCTTTGGGACATCCACTGCTGATTTTGAGGTTTAATCATTTGCCACATGGCTTGCTTCTGGATCCTAAATTCTATCATTTATTTGTTTCTTACTGTTTAATTGAATGCTTTTGCTGCTGACACAGGTGCCTACAGAGTGGATAAAGGGGGGAGAAGCAGGGAATGAAGTGAAGAAACATGCATCATTGTGATACAAACTCTGCCCCTTATGTACTTGTGAGTATGAAGGGGCAGAGCCTGCACTGTGATGTTGCAATGCACATATTATCATTAGGGCATCATTGTGGTTAGAAACAGATGCCTAGAGCTGCTGAAGGCTTACATAAATAAAAATAACGACAATGATAAAAATAATAACCATCTAATCTTGCTTACCCAAACTTGAGTGCTCACTATTTTTCCATGCCTTCTTTATTCTCCTCCTCCAGCTCTCTTATCTTCTTCATCCTGAGGCGGCAGAATTGTTCTTCTTCATTGTTGCTGCTGCTGCTGCTGCTGCTGCTGCTGCTGCTGCTGGATCTATCCTGAATTAGCTTGATTGCCTTGGGATCCATTTCATCCATCTCCAGGCAGAGACAAGAGGAGTCGCTTACCTCCAGTGAATCACCCCACATGGTCTCACACATTTCTCTTCCATTGGCATACATCTAGAATTCAGAGGGACATAAATGGTCTGGTTTACAGTATCATTTACCGTCAGAACCACACTGTCCTCCTGTTTTTTGATCTTTACATCCAGGCCACTTTGAAAAATAAGGTCTAAGGCAGGATGTGGCCTGGTACAATTAGGATGGTAGATAGAGGAACGAGTACTGGCAATAGCTCATTCAGGATCCAGAGCATACACCATATCAGAAATCTGCGAATTGCTTTATTATGAGGCTAAAAGCATTGGAGATGAAAAGAAACAAATCTTACCCAACCCTTTGTTTAGGATTTTAGCCTCTCTTCTTTTCAGCTTTATAAAACAGAGGTTTCCTTTATATCATACCAAGATTTTTGTCCATTTAGCCTAGTATTTTCATTTCTGATGAATAATGTCTTTCTGAAATAGGGGCAGGCAACCTTTGGTAGCCAGGAACTGCACAGTTTAACTTCATACTACAGTATTCATGCATTTCTAGTTTCAAAATTGGGAAACAATGGGGCTTATTTTAGGTCATTGTGGTCAGAGTGAATTCTGGGATTCCAGGAAAGTGGATTGGCAGCTGTGTGTGGCACTGGGGTTTCAGTTTGCTTTCATTTGCTCTAGAACCTCTAGCAAACATTTTCCTAATTTTCCTTTTATCTAGAGATGCATGAGGTCTATCACTGAATTGGCCAAACATGCATTTCTAGATCAGCCTTCCCATAACAGATATCCTCCAGATTTCTGGATGGCATAGTTAATGATACTTCAAAATATAGTAATGCATTGCTATCTAAACTAGTGTGATAATTCCTGTATTGTATATGCACAAAATGACAGGAGATTCCTTTTATACAGTATTAATATATCCTTTGTTTGGAAAACACTTGTTTTAGATTAACCTACTTTAAAATAAATATTGGTACATTACCTTACCTTAACATTCTCTTACCAAGTTTAAAGACAGTTGGAAGACAGGCTTTATAATTAGATAAATGCATTTAATCTGCACTTTAATTTAAAAGGCATTATTATTACTGGTGGCATGCACTAGCAGTACTAAAATATTTTAGAATTTAGAGGAGGTGAATATATGAGTTTCCTCTTGTTAAATTAGAAACATTTGCTAGATTAGAGCATCAGCACTAAATATAGAAAGCCATGCAGCCTTTTGACCCTTTAACATTAAGGTACTACCTGTGGCTCAGAAGTAGCTTCCAATACATTACCTCACTGTATGGGATGCACTCATTCTTACAGTGATTCTCTCTCTTATCATCGATTTCCCAATCAGTCAACCAATTGCTGACACAAGTGAGATCGTTTTTACAAGATTCATACCTACAAGGTAAGAGAAAACACAACAGTATAGGTATTTTGTATGTTTTTACCGCTCCATGTAATGCAACATAAAAGAATGTGGTTTTATTGACTATAAGTTTCTTTAAAAAATTCAAGTCAATGCTCCTTCAGGATATTATTGGAAATTATTCTTTACAAATATACAGGGCACTTTGAAACAAGGACATTTGCAGTTCAAGGGAAGAAAAAATAATACCCTGGAAACGTGGCTTGTTACAATGATTCTAGAATGTATATTAAAAACAGATCTGTAACTTTCCCAGCTATTAGCAGACTAATAAGTAGGGAAGAATACTTAATGGCTAGAGTTGTGGTCAAATCCCAGCTCCCAAAGAGTGCTATTTTCTCCTGATCACTGCAGTGTCAACCTAGTGATGAAAATACTGTAGCGTGGAGAAGTAGCACTGGACTGGAGCTTACAGAGTGCACTTCATTGTTTTCATTTCTCATTTCCCAGACTCTTCCAACACTTTTGACCATATAATTGTCTTCACTTCTGCAGACCAGACTACAGAAAACTGGCAGGGAAGACCATGATCCAACCCGTGCTCTGCCTCCAGCTGACTGATAGGAGAGTGCAAATAATAATAATAATAATAATAATAATAATAATAATAATAATAATTTTCTTAGTGTCATGCTGTAAGGTACTATAGGTCCTGAAATAACACTATGCAGTAGCATGGATTGTGAAACACCTCTTTGAACGGTTTCCACAGCCCCAGCATATCCTGCTATCTCTATCTGCAGTTTATGTTTGTGTAGAGGTCCTGAATGAAGCCAGGAGGCCATCTTTCTCTGTTAAGAACCTGGAAACAGAATGTAGCCTCACTTGAAGATTGAGAATTGGATGTGAGGTGAGGCAAGAGTTCCACCAAGGGGGGGGGGAATGGTACCCAAAGCTCTACAGAATGCCAGCACAAAGGCCACCTTCTTCATTCTGAATTGTTTTACAACCGAACCAGAGACAAATTGTCTGCCAAGGGATAATAGTTTGAAAACACAGAAGTGCAAAACAGATTCTGGAATAGTGCAAAGGCATTGTTTGGAAAGTCCAGAATCTAGTGCTCTGTGGTTTTAAAAAGTAAGTGGTCCCTGAAGAATATTAGTCAAGGCTTTGTTTTCCACTCAGAACCATTCAAGTGCATGCAGGGTCATCAACATATGCAGTTCAGAATTGCGATATTCAATATACTCTCCATATTGGGTGGAATTGGCCATGTTTCAGCATTTGGAAAAGAAGTAGTTCTATTAGTAAAACAAATACATGAAAAACTCCAACACCACAGAGTTCAATCCAAAAAAACAAGAAACACTATGTGAGCCATCCTCAAAATCTTGAGCATGTCCAGTTAAATTTTTAATTTTGTTTTTTGAATATCAGACTTTTGCCAGCACCAGCTCTTTCAAGAAACATTTGAAAATCTCATTGGGTACAGAAGAACTTCATGTACAGTAGATCTTTAAACAGTGGCAACAAACTTTGGTAGCTTGTCATCTGATCTATGGAACAGAACTATTACAAAATAATAATAATAGCTCACTTCATCATTTCAAATTCTTTTCCTAAGGGTTATTGTCTTAAAATGAAAGATGCATAGTATCACAAGAATACTAAATAATAATCTGTTCTGCCCTGGAAAAATGCATGTGAGTTTACTTCTCAGCGTAATTTTTTTTTATACGCTAAAAGCAAGTTATTGATAAGTCAATAAGAATTCCAAGAATAATAAAATTGCATTGGAAAGTTTGATTTTGCCCCAAAGAATGAAGAATTAGTAATGAATTTAACTACAAAGAGAATCTTCTTAATTTTTTTGAATATAGCAAGAAGGAGACATGGGTTGGAGAATTCATTTATATGGGCACTGTAAAGGCCAACCTACCAGTTATCACAGAACCTTTGGCATATGGGAACAGAAGAAATAGCAGCTGCATATTGGTGATCAGCCCAGTGAGCGGCATATGGTGAGCACCGATAAAAGCACTCTATTTTCTTCATGTAAGTTTCACACCTGTTATTATGGGGAAAACATCCACTGTTATTGTATGAAAAACTTCCATCACTGCAATTGGCAAATTGGTTGGGAACTTTAACTCAGTTGCTCCTTAGATTTATAATTCTGAAATTATATTCCAATCTTATTAAAGTAAATACCACGTGTCATATCAAGGCTACATGAATACTTCATGAAACTTGTTGATAACACTGGGTGGCAACACCAGAGGGCTGAAAAGAAGATTTATTATAATTCCCCTCTTCACCCAGTTTCTGTTGCTACCTTGTCTTAATTATTTGCCTTAATTCAATTACCATGCATTGAATTAATATACTATAAATCACTTTGGGAATGTTTGGATTTTGGACTGAAAATTAAAACAAAAAACTTCATAAATAAATAAATAATTAATGTATCTCTACTTTTAGAAAAGCCATTAAGAACATATTTTTAATTTGGCCTTTAAAAGTAATGTACCATTGTTCAAATGTCTACAGTATTAATGTTATAATAGCTTTCATCACCTAATATTCAGGTATGTCACCTAAATTTAGTAATTCCATGATCATCATTAAATAGCTATTAGATTCTAATTATGGAGTAGAAGACCCACAGTACAATGCCGTCTCAAATTTCTAAGTACTCTGTTAACACCTTAACCTGGAAATATAACTATGTATTCAACACAGAAAAACAGTGTTTCTTTAAAAAGGAGAAACTTCACAGAATGCTTTTTTACTTTTCAAAAAATTATTTTAGTTTTTCAAAATGTATGCCTTATATTTTTATCTGTAAACTCTGATGTCCATTGATCGTGTTGTATAAAGCAGTCAATGATAGGCAATGTTGGGTCTAGTGTGAGGAGGATTTCAAGATGGCCTACTGAAGCATCCTTATTTTATTTTTTCCTGTCTTGTTTGTTTAATAGATGAACCACACATATGTATTTAATAATAATAATAATAATAATAATAATAATAATAATTTATTAAATTTATACGCCGCCCAACTCCCAGTGATTCTTTATGTTGTCCTGCTATTATACACAGAAGCTATGGCAGAAGTATGGTAAATAGCGTATTCATAGAATCACGTGGAAAAGAAAAAACAAAACCTACATTTTAGTAAGATTTCCACATCTGTTCCAGAAGGTAGTATTTATTTTAATGACTGGTGAATGAGCTAGTTCTTCTGTAATGTTTGCAAAGCAACAGGCAGCTATGGGGAATTAAAAAACAAAGAGTTTTTAATAAAGGCTTACTTTCTAACACAATTACAACTATGAAAACTCTGGTCTACTTAAATACCTACAATAGCCCATGTTGTTAAAATTGGAATTGAGTCTTGGGGCACTTTCAGAACACATCCTCTCCAGTAGCCTACACCCAGATAAGCAGGGATTAGCACCAGGCAAACAATCAAGCAGAAAACAATACCCTAATCAAGGAACTACCAAGGAGAAAACCACACACACACACACTGGCAGGGCAAGGTATTGTATATAAACAGGGAGCAAATCCCAAACTCACTAGCACTGATGATGTTACCTAGTCAGGTAATGAAACTTCTGCAAGCAAACAACCAAGCTCAGAGAGCACCAAGGACTCCATAGGATGAAAAGAGTTATGTTATACAATGCCACAGAAAAATGTGGCATTATGCTAGTAGGAAGTATGAAAAAGGATATTTGTAGAATGATGACCTGAAAGAGGTTATGGATGAGGGAAAAAAAGTTGTATAGATACTACAAAAATGAGAATGAGAGAAAGAAACTAAGCAATATGTATATAGAGAAAAAAGATATCTGCAAAGAAGGTAGTCAGAGAGAACAAGGAATACTTAAGATTAAAAGAGGCAGAGAAAATGCTGAACAATTTTGATGAGAATAAAAAAATATTTTGGAAATGGATGAAGAGGAAACCTCTAACAGAGAGAATGGAATTAGAAATAAAAGTGAATTATTTGTGACAGAACTGAAGTACAGGAATGCTAGAGGTATTTTAGAAATTTGTATGGGAATGGCAGTTTACATCAGAGAGTAGACTTAAAACAAATGTTACAAAAGTTAGTGTTCAAGAAAAGAATTGATGAAAAGGAGTGTTGAAAAATGGTATAGCTCTGTAGGAAGAGATGGTTTAACTGGAGAAGTGTTAAAATATGGATGAGGTTTGTATATGGAGTGGCTGAGTGTCTTGTTTACCATAAGTAGGAAGATTGCAACTGTGCCTGAAGACTGGAACAATGGTGTTATTGTTCCCCCAGACAAAGGGAAAGAAGAGTAGTATGAATGAATTAAAAGAAAGAAACAAGCAAGCATAGGTGGATTTGTTCATTAAATGTGCCTGGAAAAATGTTTGATAGAATTCTGATTGAAAGGTTATGAAAAGTTATGAAAAGTGGTTGGATAAAGTTGATGAGATACTCAAAAAAGGGAGTTGAGAAGTTAAAGAACAAAAGGCAATGTGTGAAGTGATCTATGGATATGATGGAAGGACAATGATTTGTAAGGATACAAAGTATGAAGAGATATAGTGAATGGTTTTGGTGTAAAGTTTATCCTTTTTCTTTTTCTGCCTTAGGCTTGGCTTATTTTTACTCTTTTCTATGCTTTTTATTTTAATCTGTACAATCCCTGTATGTTGTATACACACACACACATGCACACACATAATATAACTATACCATGAAATTTAGCTCACATTAGTTGCATGAACAAATGATAATACAAAGTACAAAATAATCCTTCGAGACCCTCTGTTAACAAAGGCACCAGCACACAGCCTGCTGATCACCTAAAGATTAGTTTTTAGTATAGTTTTGCAGGACTTACATTTGGCATATAGGGTACATTCCTGCAAGTCATTCTCTTGGGTAGGCGTTGGCTTGTGACCAGCCCCTTCCAGACATGTTTGTCTCTTTCCAGTGCTAGGCACTGAGACAGCAAGGAATAGGAGCACTGAAAATTGCAACATCTTCTTGTTACTGCTATTCTTGTAAAGGCTCCTGTATGGAAGATGACATTTCAATCATAATGGTGGTTTATGAAACAGTAGGGGCAACCTTAATGCGCACCGTCAGAAATAACTGCAACTAAAATGTAGCAGAGTGGAACATATTTTGCTTTCTTCTGTACCAACCTTAAACAATCACACTGAAAATGTATTTTTCAATTTAAATCATGCTTTTCTATTCAAATTAGTGTTTACAGAAATTTGCCTTTAAAGCAAATATGGCTCAAAGAGCAGCTGATTATTTTCCTGCCTCACCCCTTTTCTCCTCTAACCTTCTTGCCTGAAGAAGAATTCTAGGAAATTAGAAAGCTTCCAATAATTTTATAAAATGTGATTTGGTAACACTATGGCCCCTATGGATTTGGATATTTTTTCTCATGGTCAATACATATATTGTTGCTTTTGAACTAAGTATATCAACATACCTTGTGTGACCACTTCCATTCAAGGACTTTGTATGTGGTTTCCATATCTAAATTTTCTAAAGAGGACAGTGTGGAGAAAGTCTCCCCACAATGGGCATGCAAGATGTCTTTATTTTTCATCCCCCACCTCAGTGCCACATCCCAGCATACATCCTGTCTCTCAGGCCATAAGATCTAATGGAAACAAATATTAGTAACTGGGGTTGAAGCAGCATTTGCCACTGTGGGAGTGATCAGGTAATGAGAGCTAACTATCTACTAGTATTCTGAGGACACAAATGTAAAATTATGCTCCAGTAGAAACCTCCAACAACCTGAAAAAGTTTTGTGTTCACTCCTCGTTTCTGCCATGTAATTGTATGGAGTGTATTGATAGTCAGGAGGGTTCTTTACTCTTTCGACTTTCTACATTTATCCTTTGATTATCAGAACATATATGTTGCTTTACATTATGAATCCCACCAAAGACATTCAGAAGCCACAGGCACTTGACTTCTTAATATCTCTTGAGGCATCCATGTTTACTTTTTGGGTTCTAAAATTCCTAGCCGTTGTAGAATATGAAGAAGTTAATGTTGTTTCACAATATATTGCTTGGATTTCTCTTTAGTTGTATTGCAACAATAAAATGTTGGAAATATATTTTTCCTATCTGAGAAACTTTGACCTGGAGTAATAAACAGTGTTGCACAAATGAAAAAACTTTTCCGTATTAGAGGATACCTGAACTGGAGTAACAAATGATGCTTCACTATAAAGTTACAATTCTGTTAACTTTTCACTGGGATAGATAGGAGCACAATTTTGTCTAAGACCACACACAAATAGATAGTATCAAGATTTGTCAAACTCACTGTCAATATATGATTAAAAATGTCCATTATTTTTCACTTAAATACTCATATTCTCTGTGAACTTTCATCTAGAATTTTTCTAGTTTTTTTTTTTTTTAGTTGCTTCAGTAAAGAAACTAACTGCCAAAATCTTGTCTTACATGGACAGGCAATTATTTGGCTAGTGAAACTGAATAGTTCCAAACCCAGGCAACATCTTTTTATCTTGGTATTTCTAGGAACATTATTTAAACAATGCTGCTATATATGAGTCTGTGCATAGGGCAAAATGCAGGGTTTGCCTTTCACTTTGCACAGTGAGTCCAGATCCTTTTGTTTGCTAATTTATAATGTACAAGAAAACTAGAACAAGATGACCTTTTTCCAGGTGTGAGGAACAGAAAGCAATTTAAATCAATCTCTAATACTCGACACAATAAATAAATTACATTTTAGAATAATGTTTCAGAAAATTTATATTAACTAATATTTCTGATAATTAACATTGGAAATTTGGATTCTTACATGATGTGAACTATAGATGATTTGGTTACTGAAGAGTTAAGAAGAACTAGGCATTTCCCCAGCCAGTGCACTTGAACTACAGTTCCAAGTTGTTGACAAATGCCATTTTTTCCCTAGTAAGATATTAACTGTGGTAGTTTTGGCATAATATGGATGGTGGTTACCTGAGCACTGTAAACACATGTTTACTGATGGTGTCATTATCTTGAAGACATACATAACCATATATGTCCCTGTCATGTGTGTGTGCCTTCGAGTCAGTATTGACTCCTGGTGACTGCCTGGACAAATCCTTTGTAGTTTTCTTGGCAAGGTTTCAGAAGGGGTTTGCCATTGTCTTCTTTTTCCTAGGGCTGAGAGAGAATGACTAGCCCAAGGTCACCCAGCTGATTTTGTGCCTAAGGCAGGACTAGAACTCTCAGTCTCCCAGTCTCTAGCCTTGTGCCTTAACCACTACACCAAACTGGCTCTAGTATCCCTGCCTTTAACTATACCATATCATTGCTATTTGTGCATATAGTTTAGCAAACACAATAATTTATATCCATTCACTTCCTATAAAATAATACACTGCCATTTTATGGATTCTTTGGATTTTGTACTTCCTTTGTTTTGAAGGGCTGGTATTTAAGCCTTCATTACCAAGTTAGGTCTCTTCCACACTGTTACAGTTTTCACTTTCCAAATTCCTAGAAACAGTTTTGGGCCAACTTGTGGTTGTTCTCGCTGCTATCATCCTTGAAACGCAGCAAAACCATATGAGGCGTAGTACTCTCCAGCTAACCAGTAGAAGGGCACAAAATGGTATCTATTTGGTGCCCTGTCCCCATCCGCAGTCTATTTCATTCTCTGATTAAAATACTTCAGTATTTGCAATGTACTGGGGGAGGGAGGATAGCCACAAAGTTCCCATGCCATGACGATACCATTCCTCTATTCCATTTATTAAAACAGCAGAAAAATTAAAGCTTGAAGTTATGATAGCTTAACTCTACCAGAATGAGAGAGAGCACAAGAGCTGGGATGAGGCAAAAGTTCCTACTGATGGGAAAATATCCCCCCATCCTTAGATCCTTAGATCTCCAGTGATTCTACTGGAAAACTGGATTCAATATGTTCCATGATGAACCAACTAAATCAGAAATAAATTGGTTCAGATGCCAAACAGAGATATCATTAGATCCTGTGGGCAAGGAGCCAATCCAGGAGTGGAGCAAATATTACATTTGGAGGTGCCTACAGATAAAAATGTACGCAGTAATGATGATGATGAGAATCTTTGGCCAAATGTAGACCACTTGTTGCCTCCTTCCCAGGGGAAGCATTTGAAAACAAATCCCTCTTCCTCTCAACATTTGCAACTATTTCTTAAATATATAAAACTAATGTGGCTATATTCATACAATATACAAAACCTTACAGATTGCAATGGTTGAATGAAATAGAAACACCCATACTTGTCTTAGGGTATTGTGTGAACACAAGTTATTACGCTGAACAATGTTTTTTTTTTTATTTAGCATGTTGTATGAAAACACCCGCTTGTGGTTTATTAACTATAGTTTATGGTATAATGTGTTGTACAAGGTCAGCCATTACATAAAGTAGATAAGTTAATATACAGTACAGTGTCATATCTGATGCAATAATAGATTAAAAGCAAAAACAGGCATGATATTACATCTGTGGATACATTTAATGTGTTGATTCCTTTTTGACAGTAACAACTTGGAACTGAATGGAGAAGGAAGAGGAACAATGCCTGCAAGGAAGGAAGCTAGCTGTTTACAATATGCAAAGGCTTAACTTAAAAAGCCATTATGATACCTACTCACTTTTCCTTCCAAAAGGAAGTTTCTATCCTAAAGTGGTGAACATCCTTTTAAGTAATGGGTTATATGATTTGCCAAAGCAAGGACTGCAGAATTAGTATTAGTAATTGTTCTAATTCATCAGTTTCAAGGCAAATGGAGCCAAATGTAAACATTGATTTCTTACCTCTTTTGCTGGCTTTCTGTTCTTTTGCCTCTGGAAGGAAACTGAGTTAAAAAAAGTTCGTGGTCTTTTCTGTCTATTGTACCCTCTGTATATGTTGATTATCAGCAAAAGCCATAGTTTGCAGGCTTCTTGAACCTTTGTAAAAGCTAACAGACTTATCTCTGGGTCATTTATAGTTGGGACATTGACTTGCTTGCTTTATTAGATTAGAGAAAACATCCTGACTCTAGCAACAGCCAATCAGAAACCTCTACAGAAGGCCTGAAAACTTGCAATCCATCTAGTAAAATGCTACAGATAGACATTGGTAGGTATACTCATGTTTATGGATAGCTGAATTACATTGCCCATACTCTAATTTCAACAATTAAGGGTACAGTATTGATCCTGGGGCTGCAGAATTCTCTTTCTTTGAAATACAAAGCTGCAACAGGTTCCTCTTCCTCCTTCATATTTTTTAAATCTCTTTTTAGTTAAGGCTATGAGCTGACTCAGACAGTTTGGGAGTCAGCTACCCTGTTAGCAAAACCAGAATTACTGAATTGCTGGTAGGCTGCTGTGTTTGATTTAACATATGCTAGTTGTGGAGATGCCTGTACTTATAAGATGTCAGTTCCATAACTCCATTCTTCTAGTGGTAAGGCTGCAAAGTTTGGGAAGTGTCATTCTAATACATCTGGAAGGCACCAGATTGAGAAAACTTAGTTTCAAACATGCCTGTCTCATTCTTTGAGCATGGGACAAAATATAGTTATTTGCTGTCTTTTTGCTTGTGTTCAGCAGTTTGAAACTTTATACTAAAAAGGCATAGTAAATACTATATTTAAAAATCACAATTCTTGAATTCCAAACACCACACAGAAATATAAAGGTCATTTAAAATCTCTCTCTGTATTTTCCAATGAATTACTAATAATCAGACAAAGTTGCAAAACAGGCAAAAACTAAGGACATCCTTAGTTGTTATCAGTCCTTGTTTGCTATCTGTTAATGACAGACCACCTGTTTCTAAGAGAACAGCAATTCTATAAGGAAAGGGTAGGAAAGTGCTAAATCTGCAATTTCACGTGAAGCTGGGCACCAGGTTTTTGATGGTTGGTAATAACGATGCAGAAAACATTGTATCCAGGACTGAAGCCACAAATTACAATAATTGTATTCTTGTTACATAGAGTGTCTAAACCCAAAGATTCTAGATTGTGGGTAAAAAAAGGACATAAATTTATTTTATATTTATCTAATAATACCAAGTAAATTGCATGCCTTGAAATTGTGTGTGTCTGCGTAAGTAGATGCTGTAGATAGTTATAGTGATAATCCAGTATAGAAATGCAAGCTTCTTACCAGACAACCAAAACAGGAATAGGCAGGAATTAAAACCTTGATTTAATATTTGAAATATATATTTAAAGAAGATAGGGAATGACATTTTAAAGGAGCTAAGACCAGCCTTTGCTAGAGGTATTAGGATAATTTCTGTGTTGGTTGCTTAGTGAGTTTATAACAGCAATGCATTACAAAACTATTTTATTTTCCTTTGCTTTTTTTCCTGAGTTGCCATATATCAGCTGGGTTCACAAATCACATTATACCATTATGTGTTCTATGATGTAACACAATGTATAAATTAGCCTCTGAGTTTATGTTTTCAGTGGTCTTTCCACTATGATTCCAGTATTTTTTATATATTTTGCCAGAACGAATGAACCTTTATGGATACACGTGAGACATTCAAAATGTCTTTTATCAGTAAATGTTCTCATGGAAAGTTCTTTCAGACAAGATATTGCCAAAAATATTTAAAACCTTATCAGGTCAAACTGACCAGGACTATGTCACCCAGATGATAAGCAGTAATTATTACTAAAGCTCTGCAAATGCAGAGTCAACCTTTAAGGATTTTCCTAGTTGTTTTTTTTTAAATTAGATATTGATTTCTTTGCAGGCTGAGAACTCCTGTCATCTAATATGGAGCAAGACTGACCAATGAGAACAACGCTAAAAACAAGACCAGTCACACCAGTCTTGTTAAGAGAAGGTGCTAGATCAAGAAATAACTAATAAGAGCATTAAATAATATAGCTATAATATAGTGAAAAGTAGTTATTGAAGAACGTTTTTCCTGACGTGGGCAAAATTTTAGGACTGGTGGGTATATTGAGAGTATGTCGTGCTTTGTGCTTTAACAAGCGAGCTGCTACCACCGGGACATTCTAAGAACGGCTGCTATGATCAGCATGGTCAGACATAAAGCACTATTTGCCCAAAGGCAAACTATTCGGGGTGAGGAGCTTTCTGTTTACCATCCTGTTTGTAGCAGAGGCTAAAGGCAAACATATAGATACAGTTAATTTCTCCATAACTGCTGAGAGCATTAGAAATGGAAATTGATTTAACATACATGAATACCATTACTATAATGAATTGTATTAATTTCAATTAAAGACCATCTCTCCCAGTAATAGTTGTCCATGCATTGAAGAGACTAGGAGGGTGCTCTGTATCTCACCTGTAGCAGTAGCCTAAAGGATTTTTGGGGGTGCTGCCCCATTTTCTCTCCCTAAGGAAGTATGACCGGCTCCCTGGCTGTCCTATTTTAGACTGGAGCTCAAGGAATGTATTTTCATCTAGGCATATATAAGATAAATGCTGAACCAGGTCAAAAATGCTATCCAACGGTAGCTAGACAACATCTGAGATATTTTTCTAAACTGTTGTACTGTACAGATAAATTCTGTATGCTATTGCTTTTATAATTTTTAAATTGTATATTTTATTGTCAAAATGCTGTTTACTTCAATGGGGTTATAGATAAATAAAATGCTAAATTTACAGTCTGGTTAGGTCTGAATAGAAGCAGATATAGTATGTATGCACTCAGATCCAGCATAATACATTTTGTGAACAGTGTAACAGTGAACAGGAATCATTATTTTCTTTAGTAATGATAATTATTTCAAACAATCCATCGTGCTGCTTGAATTTTAAAGACTTCCTGAGTTTAGATGTTAGCCCTTCAAAAACAGGTTGGCCAAGATTTTATTCTAAGAATTTAGAAGTGCTTGTTCTGCAAACTCATTTAAAATATGAAAATAAAAATTGAATCTAATTTCTCCACTGCCTCCTTTCCAACAAGTTACTCTGACTTCAAAAATCAGGTCAAGCTGTTAATATTTGACAGGATAGGACTATTATCCAATACTGTTGCTTGCCTTGTGTTTGGAAATCCACTTTCAGGCCACACTCCAGACTCGGGTTCAGAAATAGCTCAACAGGTCACAGACATGGAACACTGGAAAATGTTCCAAGCGCTCACCTACAGTCCCCCAGCCCTTCCCCACCACACATTAAGGATAGTGGTTCGTGGTTGTTTCTTCTGCCATCAAGTGATGCGTTGTAGCAGGGAAAAATCGAGCTGGAAAATCCACCTATCACTGTCCTTGCCTCACATTAAAACAGCACCACTGGCCAGCAGCATCATAAGGATCAGACATGAGGGCAGCAGTGCAATTTGTATCACTTTCCTTTTAGCTTGGCAGAACTGGAGGAATGCACTTTAACGTGGCCCTGTGGCAATGCCCTTAGGAGACACTGCTACTGAACGGCTATTTAAGCACTAAAATCCTAAGCAAGAGGGGATTAAGGTGGGTTAACAGGGACTTCACCACTCACATTTAGTCTTTGGTTTTTTTTTTTTAACTGGATCTCTGTTACATTACAAAAAAAACACACATTAGAACATCTCCGAATAACGTTGAAGCGTTCGCTATCCGCCCTTGTATTTATACAGATCCACGGTCCCATCATACTTTGCGAGCCAATTCAGCTGCGGACACACCCATTATTGCAATTTTTCCGCGCGCTCCCGCTCTCCCCAGGTTCCCCTCGCCCTCCTTCCTTCCCCCGCCCTCTCTCCTTGGCCCCGCCTCCCTAGACTTGGCTTCTCTCCGCCCCTTGAGTTCCCTCGCGCATCGGCAGCCCCTCCTCTCGCGATACGTGGCCGAGGGGGTGGGCTTGTCGCAGTGTCCGGCGTGCTCGCCACTGACAAGAGCGCGGAGATGCCTGGCTGGGAGCGGAGCTGGGAGAGAGGCGCTCCCCAAGATCGCCTCCCCCTCTCCCCGCGGCCATGGCGGGCTGCTTAGCGCGCGAGCCCCCGCGCTGAAAAGTTGCCGCTGCCATCCCCATCCCCGTCATGAGGAAGGGCCGCTCTCGGGGGGAAAAAGCGGGACCCTCGGGACTCTCGGTTCCCAGGAGCCTGGAGCAGCCCACCCGGGTCCCCCTAGATGCTTCAAAGAGAAGAGCCTATGCCGCGGCAGGGAGTGTGAGGGAAGCGGAAGAAGCGGGTCCAGGCAGCGCCGCCTGCAGGGAGCCGCCAGAAAAGGTACTGCGGCGGCTGGAGGTTCTTTCGTTGGCGGGTCTGCCTTAACGTGTATCCTTCGGTACAGCGAAGGATCAAGATGGTGGGGGTCGATTATAGAGGCGTTACGTTCATGTTTATGTAAGGGGAGAGATTTCTAGGGGTACCGTCCCGCTGGTTCGAGGCAGCCAGTGAGGACAGCCTGGATGCTCCTCCGTCACTGCAAGAGGGACGCTGGGTGGGTGGAAGGGCCATTGTGGTGGAGATGCTGTTCGAGGAATGCCGAGGAAGGCATTTTCTGCTGTCAGAAAACTCGTGGAAACTTTTGTTTGCCTCCTGTGATGCAGAAGAATAACTCCAAGTCTTTTATGCTAATTGCTGTAGGGGATGTATGCATTGGACCTCTGGGAAGGATAATTCCTTTATGAAATCGAAAAACCTTTTTATAAGCATAAGGTGGGGTGCTTTTTGGCGTTGACAGGCTAAGATGAGGTAAGATGTATGGTCTGAGTTAAGAAGGTCACATGGAGATTGTCGTTGTTAGGTTTAGGGTGGACCCTTAAGCATGCCATTTGCAGTGATTTCTGTAACCTGTAAATGGCTGTGTTATGGTAGATCTTGTGTGTTCAGATGTTTGGTCCAGATCAAGGAACATCTCAGGTAAGGGACAGGCAGGCATGTTTTTTTTGTAGAGATTAATAGTTCTTCTATTTGGTACTCTCCATTATTAGTATAATTTGCTTCAGTAAAAATACCTGCAAAGTAACTATGGGGGTGATTTATCCTCTTTCTTCTCTAAAAGCTAGAGATTAATTACATCATGAGTAAAGTTTACATGTATTACATCTAAATCTTCCTCAGGATGTCCCTAGATGGTTATATATAATTATGTTATGTTTTGCCTGGGTGGGGGGAACTCAGGGTTGCATACCACAACTGCAACCCTCTGAGGTAGGTTGGGCTGAGAAACTGATTGGCCCAAAATCTCCTGGTGAGATTAGTAGACATTAATGACTTGAACCTAGCTGATCATTATTATACTTGCAGGGTAAGTACTATAGCTTATTTGAACATCACCTCTGAGTGGGCAATACTAAACTGCACTGGTGGAAGGAACAAAAGAACCTCTCTTGTAATAGAGGATTCATTATGAATCTTTTGATTATGTATGTTTACAATATAAGTTGTATTTGTACAGTATTAGCCCTGTTGATCCTAATAATACTATTACGGCAAGTACCACTAAATACTTAGCTGCAGCTGGGCTGATGTGTGAAAAACCAGTTTGACCATTTGCTGTGCCTAATCAGTGAGTTGCCCAGCTTATTATCATACATTGGTCATGACTGAATATGAAGAAGAAATAGAAAGTGGGATAGTCTATCTTTCTCTGGAAGATTTCACTGGCTGAACATTAGTCACTTTTCAAGCCAGTGAAAATACTTTACATATTACAGGAGAAGATTGTGTCCTGCATTTTAATAGCATAATACTTAATGCTAATCTGCAATGTTTGAAGAGATGAATCAATTAAAAAGTGTAGAAAATTTACATATGTGGTGTTACAAGAATATAGTTCCAAATGGACATTCCTTTGTATTAGAAGCATCAATGCTCAAAGCAGAAACAATTACTGGTTCAAACATTTATATTGGAAACAACTATTCCTATTCTAGAGGTCTTTTGAAATGATTGTGGATAATAACTGACATAATTTGGTTAGCAAGGAATCAGATTTCCATATACTGTAGGTTCAGATGGATTTTATAACTGTGTAGCTTGGCTACTGGTACTTACTTAAACCTAGGAAACTAGGTAAGTCAAATATTATTAATATTTGTAGTTTTATGGTGAATTCTGACTCTAATGATATCATGCTACAACTTTTCTTCATGTCGTTTGTATGCTTAAGCTGTATATTTTTCTTCTAACAAAATCCTCTGACCTGAAAAAATGTCTGAGTTCAGGTATAATACATTCAAAAATTGTCATTAGAGCCCTTTGAACAACAACAACAAAAATATAAATTCCCACAGTGGGGAACTTACCAAATGCATGTGACGAACTTTTTATGGCTATTATTTTATAGTAACTGGTAATTAGAAACAAGATTGACTTTGATCACAGAAATATCATAGAGATATTGTGTTCATTGATTGCTTGCTACTACATACTTTATAATATGTGAAGATAATCTAAAAAAGTATGTATATGACACCTATACACATAAATACCATATCCACTTATTTAGTGCCAGTGATAATGATTCTTCCACCATAACAAATATTTTCTAGCTGTGCAAATTTGTACAAGCTGTCAAAAGTTATTTATGTACTCTGTACTTTTTTTTTTTTAATGTGGCATAGGTAATTAAACTTAGATAATTAAAAGGACCCTCTTTGGGTTTAACGCTACTGCAGCAGTTTTCTTTTCCAATCAGCTAATCATTTTGACCATTGCATTCTTTCTTTGAACCATTTGCTAAATACTATTCTATTCCCCAATGTGAGGGATTTGGATTTTTTTTGTCCTTGGGGGACGAGAATAGAACAGTAGCTGACTTGGAATGTAAGTTCATTGGAGATAGACTTATGCCTATCTTGATTCAATTTGCAAAATTTGAACAGGAGTACTTTCATAATAGCTCAGCTTGTTTCAGATTGCTGCTCTACTGTTATCTCAGTATGATGGCACAAATAAAGTTTATATATGTAAATGTTCAAAAATATGTTATATTTATGAAATCTCTTAAAATAACACCTTAGGAAATTTTCCCAATTTTTGTGGCTTTTCTATTTCCCTAAATAGGTCAGAGTTTTAGTAAAAGAAGATGGAATAAAGCATTAAGAATAACTTTTAAAAATTTCAAGGTAATACAGCAATAATACCGAAAATTGACATAGTAATCAAGTTGTATTTTCATAAGCTAAGTTTGACTGTATGCAGTTAATACACCAATCCTTAAATTTTGGAGATTTTTAATGACGATTTTAGTATATAAAATAGAATGCTAGTAGTGACTTTTCTCCAAAAATATGGAGGTCTATAATTGTTTAGTATGTATGTATATATGTATGTATCTATCAAGCTATATCACAAATTCATATTGATGGCATTTTGATGAGTATTTTATATAACCAAACTTGTGTATTTGTGAAATAATGTACACCTAGCTTTGGGAAGATGGAGGGAATAATTGAACCATTCCCATCTGCTCAGGAGTCTGCACAACTTTTTCTAGACTGTCTTTTTGGTATAGGAGATTAATCAATCATGTGATTTTTGGTCTTGATTTATATCCAAGTTTTGGAAGGTCCTTTTTTAATTTCCTGGATATTCATATTCATTTTTCATCTTCTCATTATCTGCAATTGAATGGGTAGATGGAGAAGACTAATGCATTACTTGAACAGTATTTGTGTTGGTATGTCTTGTATCAACAGGATACTTGGACTGATTTATTGCCTCTTGCAGAATTTGTCTATAATAACTCTCTGCATTCCTCCATTGGCATATCTCTCACCCCCACTGCCTGTTCTCCAGAGCATCTGACTCCACTGTTCCTTAAACCTCTAACTTTCTCCAAGAGAGACAGGCTGCACAGCTTTTCTTAAAGGAACCATTAGATTTGGCCAAGGCTGCATACAGTGTGTAGCATATGTGCATAGACAATCAGGTGACAAGATTGTGATGGGGGATTTGGTGGGGTTTTTCACTAAGTTTCTGCTTTCCTTTTGTCTGTCCAAGAGCTGGATTCAAAGGTTATTGGCCCCTTCCCTATTATGCATTAGCCCAATAGCCTTTTGTCTACAGTTGCCTGATTCCATGAAGATTAACATGATATTTTACTAGGCAGTGCTTGTTTGAGAAGTTCCACCCTGTCCCTTGAGTTCTGTACCTGTTGCTTCCTCCCACCCCTGAGTCTGATAGATGGGGAAGAGGAATAAGAGGTGGAATGTATTCTGGATTCTAGATGCAGGAGAGGATCATTAGAATATCTGATTCAATGGAAGGGCTAGCCTCAATCAGAGATTGTGGGAAGGGGCGAAGGATGTCCACATACCACAGCTTATCCATCTGTCTGCAGTTCTAATGCATGAACTGCTTCCAGAATCGCCATACAGTGACCTCCAGGATAAAGGAGACATTTTGCTTCCTGCCAGTTGGACCCTTCAGTTGCTATTGTTGTGCAACAGACAGAGGGAAGCACTTTCCAGCTCCTTTTAGATCTCTGTCAGACTTGTCTGTTGATTTTGACAAGCTGCTGGGCCTATCTTCAAGCAAGGGAGGAAGGACTGATTATGTGTCTGTTGTCATTGACAGGTTGCCTGGCCCATTTTCACATGTGGGAAGGCAGAGTGAAGGAATGTAAAGCTGCCTTGGGAATGGGTAAGGAATGATCAAACTGTTAAGGGATGACTTTCAGTAAAGATTACTCTTCAGAAAAAGGAAAGTGTGAGAAAGCAACTCAAAATAATTCTGCCTTGATTTCGTTTGGTATAAGATGGAGTAGACAGAAACTCTGGCAGGGTTTAAGATTGTGTTATTCTACCCTACAACAATAAAGAATATTCCTGGAATCCCTGCTGCATCTGTTTCTTCACTTTGCCTACCGTGAAGAGCTGACAATATTGAACACATCTTACAGTCTGAGTCCCACTGAACTCAGTTTCAAGTGTAAGATTATGCTGTTATGGGAATAAATAGATACATTATTTGAATGTTCAAATACACCCTTAAGATCATACCTAGGAAGCAATGAGTAGGAATTCTAATTTAAAAATTTGGGTGAACAGGCACATTTTTTTCTTGAGTTCGAGAGTTCAAGCTAGAAAAGTCTAGTTGCTGGGTGGATTAAAGTATTTAAAAAATAAAGCTTTTTACAGATTGTGCATGATGCATTTCATCATATATCAGAATTTCAGTACCTCTAGAAAAATGCATTATTTCACAGCTATCTTTTTTCTAGAATAAAAGAGAGTCCAATATGTAGGTCCTAAAGTACTCCCTAATATATATTTTTA